GCAAAGGGAAAGGTACTTTTACCTCTTCAAATATCTTGTTCACAGCTGGCAGGCTGTGGCCAGGAAAGCATCTCCACACAGAGTTTAGTTTCCTCACTGTAGAGGCTTGTTTTCATTTGTCTGTCATTAGACCAGCTGCCCGCGACAGCTGGAGTTTGCAGGGTTTCAGAGTTCACCCCAGTTGTGTGGACTGGACCAAATGCTGAGGGGATAAACGGGGTCACACAGGAGTGGAGAGTGACCTTACATCAGTAATGCAAACTCCCACTGGTGTCTCTAATGACATCTGTTTAAACACAGATTGGCTTCAACACCAGCTGATGTTTGCCTCCGTTTCACCCTTTTCCTTACAAAATGGCCAAAAATCTTTAGTGTAAAATCTAATTTCACAGCAGATTTAATTTTCCATGAACATAACATTTGTTTGCAGCCTCTGCTTTGCCAAATAGAACCAAATTTCATTACAAACTACAACAAAACTTTGACTTTTTCATTATTTTTGATATTTTAAAACCCCAAATCAGCACAGAACCCAACGGTACCACAATCAGACTGAGCCCTGATGGCAGCAGTGGATGATGCTCCCTAACCAGGCCACTGTACGTTACGCAGTGACTGTCTCCATTAGTAACAACACTCAGATTAATGGGCCTGAAAGGGGGGCCGCTGCAACGCAATCCATCAAACTCAAGTAATTCATCAGTATCAGGTGCAGTCTGAAGGATACGACCACTGTAACGACATTATTTAGTGCTTTGGCAGCAGGTTTCAACAACCACACACACACACGCACACACACACCGGTGACAACTCACGTACTGACGTGGGAGGTTTTAAAAAGAGCAAAAACAAATAGTGTTTCTAAAAAGGAGTTTGGTGTTTTTCGACTTCTCAGCAGGGTCTGCCACCACTACCACAAGGAGATCAGAGAGAAGTGCTGCTGCAGTGCATTCTGGGGATTTGAGTCAATATATACAGCCCATGGAATGATAATGCACAAGTTTTTTTTTTGTTTTTGTTTTTTTTTGTTTTTTTTACACATTGTCAGCTCCTTTCGTTCCTGCAGTGACATCCCATGATGCATTTATTTAATTAATACTCCCACTCGTCTGTCTTCATGTCCAGGTAGTTGAGAATGTTCTGGGCAAACTTCACCGCCTGCTTCCGAGCCACCTTGGTCGTCTCGTCGCCCTGTGGGTCAACGGCGTCCAGCGTCAGCAGCTGTTTGGTCAGCAGCTCCTCCAGGATCATGTAGCTCTTATCGGCCCGCTTGCCATCGAAGCCCAGCACCTGGGCCTGCAGGTCCGAGAGGCTCCCCAGAACGAACCACACGGCTCGGTGTGACGGGTGCTCGTTGGGACCCGGCTGGCGGCAAACCAGGGCCTCGCGGAGATCCAAGAAGGTGATGATGGCCTGGACCTCCCCCACAGCGCGGCGGCCGG